GTAATTTATCTGGTAAGTTAATGATGGGTTCAGTAACTTACGATAAAAATTTATAAATTACGGTAATCGCATATTTCAGCATAATTCTAAAAAATTTATCGCATAATTCGCATAAATCGAATTGTAAAGCAGGCAGAATTTGGGGGCTGTCGCAGCAGAAAATGAGGATCCCTACGCAAGTCATTAATTAACCCGTGACAGGGAGTGCATTTTGCTTAGTAAATTTTTTTAAAATGCTTTATTTTCACGTGAGTAAGGTATACTTATACCGGTTCCGGTTCGGGTCGGGTATCAAATATTCGGGTACGGGTTTATATTTGGACCCGGACCGGTTTTCCGGTTCGAATTCGGGTTTTTGCTAAAACCCGGCCCGACCCGGCCCGTGAGGAACACTAATGATCCGGATTTAACGTTAATCATATTAAACCCGGATTTGTAGATCATTGGTTACTATCTTTATATGACTGGGGATTTACGTTAAAAAGAAGACATTTTTTTATTTTATACGTATTAATTTATTTGGTTAGCATTTATGTTCACGCATAATTGTAATCACGCAGAGTTTTAAATATATAAAATGCTATTTTCATGGTTATTTTATTTAAACATTTTAATAAAGAACCAAAATTTTTTAACCATGAGCCAAATTAAAAATGCACAAGACAAAAATGAAAAAATTTTGCATTCCCTATTCGATCCAGATGAATACATGAACCTTAGCTTTTATGTGCACCAAATTTATGAACATGTGTTTAATGGTAATATAGGCGCACCAGTTCATGGAAAGTTAAAATCAGGTGCTAAAGTATTAGAATTTGGGTAAAATAAATTCTTTTTTATTTGATATTATTTCTATAAAACGGTTAATAATGAAATTTTTCATATTTATATCAATTCTCGGCAAAGTTGTGGGACTGGTGTTTGGACTATTGAAGTACTTATTGTCATTTTATGAACTTGATAATTTTAGATATCTGATAACGAATAATTTTATATACCGGTAGTATTAAATTATTAGGTTGCCCCTGAATATCCAAATTCGGAGTTCTACGCTGTTGATTCTACTACACCAGATTCTGCCGACAATGCTACGTTTATTAGTTGTGATATTTATCAAAAATTACCATTTCCAGATAATGAATTTGATTATGTTTTTAGCAGAAGTCAAACGAACTTCTTTACGAAACATGATTTTCTAGGATTTTTATGTGAGGCCTTTAGAGTATTAAAACCAAAGGGTTGGTTAGAGGTATGAATGATGTTTTTTTTTTTTTTAATTTTGCGACGTTGCGATATTGTAATATTCGGAAATTTGAAAATTATTAATGTTAGATTGGACATAGTCTCGGTGTTGATAATCAGCCTGGGCCAACTTCTGAGCGAATGAATGTTGCATGTACGTTTATCCATTTTAAAAAATTATATTTAGATATATCTTTTAATTTATTCATAAACCTTTAGATGTTTCGTGGCACAAGGAACGTGGAGTTGATATGGATCTAATAACACGCTTAGAAGATTATCTTCAAATGACTGGAAAAGCCGAACTTATATCGTCTCAAATAATAAACATTCCAATCGGAGGAAATAATTGTGTTGGAGAGATTTCTTATGAGTTTGCTTTTCACTATATGAAACTTGCGAAACCATTTTTGGCACCTTTTGTGGGAATTTCATTGGAAGAATATGACCGCTGTATAAGGGAGATTAAAAATGAATTTATTAATAAACGTGTCGAAGTAAATAGTAGACAAAAAAAGAGTAATAGCGAGAAAGAAAAATATGATCATTCTTAAAGAAGCTTAAATTACACATGCATGCATGCAATAAAGTACTGTTTTGCATTAGCAGGGTTTTAATCTGATGCAGATATTAGTTTGACGCACAACATATATATTTTGATGGTTTACACGGAATACAATTCATTCATGCTGATAAAAAAAAACCTTAAATTTAATTTTTTAATTTAATACAAGTATTTTGAAAAAGCTTTTATACATTATATATTTTAATAAATCAAAATTTAAATTATAAATGTTATTTAAAAGAGGATTCCTATGTATATAAGAAAAAAAATTAAAATTATATCTCAAAATTTTATTAAGAAAATTAATGTAGTACTCTTAAGTAAAAATTTTCAGCACTTAATTTTACATATAAATGCGCTTTTAACTCTAACCTACTAACTTTAAATAATATCGTGTAAAGTTAAAAATATTGATAAGCAAATATTTTGTGCAGTAAGCAAAGGTATATTAGCTATGAGAATAAGTAAAAAATGTTGAACATTATTATCATCAGATACAGATGTACGTTGCTATACTCTCGATACATGCCCTTATTGCAAGGCCGACCTAACATTGATCTTTCTCTTCACAATTACATAATTATTATAATTATTGCCACAAAAATTTAAATGATGCAAATGATTTAGTATAGATTTATTATATTGAATATAGAAAATTTATGAAAACAATGCTAAATTATCATTTTTAAATTCATTAATAACAACTCTAAAATATTTACTTTTAATATATACATATTTTCATTACTTCGGACATTTAGAGTTTCATTATGTGCGTACGTACTGGGAAAAATTATATTAAAAATGATTGAAAATTCTAATGGCGATTCCGTATTGCCATATTGTAAGGACAAACTGGTTTAGACCATAATATTTTTAAGTAATATAATTAAAAATCAAAAACAAAAAGGGGCAACAAAAATATAATTTTCCATTCAATTATAATCGATATAATTATCTATTCAATTATAATCGATATAATTATCTATTCAATTATAATCGATATAATTATCTATTCAATTATAATCGATGTAAATTAGGTTGACTCTGAACATAACACAGTTGCTAAAATAAAAGAGAAAAAGTAATTAGAAGTTTAAAAAGAAAGATTTAATCATTTCGTAACAAACAAGAATAAATACCTAATGGATCTTTTGTACCAGGAGATTTAAATGGATTAACTTGTATATTCCTAACATTCGTATTTCTCATGATAATATCACCCATAGAAGTGCTCATTATGATTGATTTCTCCTCGTCAGTATAAGTTTCACCTTCATACCAAAATCGATCAGAACTTCTTTTACGTATAAATTCAGCCATTATTATGCCAGAAATTGTTGGTGGTAATGGAGCTGTTGGACTTTCCATATCTTCAGCAAACATTCCAACTATTGCATCAATTTGGCCAACCTTTTTATAAATTGATTGTAAATTGGTTGCTACAGTTTCATTGGACGTTATAAGTTTAAAACATTCAATTGAGTCGACTTCGGAATTCCCTTCACATTCTTTGTTTTTGTATAGACCACCTTTCGGATGGTACGCTTCACGATATATATCATAAGGAGCGAGACCAAGCAAACGACCTTTTTAACATTAATTAAAGTTAATTAAAGTTAATTAAAGTTAATTGAAAAATACACTTGATATGATTGATTGAAAAATACACTTGATATGATTGATTGAAAATACACTTGATATGATTGATTGAAAATACACTTGATATGATTGATTGAAAAATACACTTGATATAATTGAGATATGATTCATACCTCTACCAATGTCTACAGCGAACAAGTCCAGAGGAGCAGGTATATTTCTTAATGCAGTTGTGAACATTAAATCAAACTTTGCGGCAGTTTCTCTCAGCATACTAGCAAGAATGTTATCAAAACCACTTCCTTGAGATCCGGAAGCGAGAGTCAACATTCTTAGAGGAGTATAATCTAACTGTTGAGCAGTATAATTTCCTATAGGTGGAATTGGAACAGATTTGCCAACAAAGAAGAGACGATTGGGATGAGAATTGGGGAATGAAAAGTCAGGATGAAGTTCAATAGGTTGTCCCGTGCAACCATCGATGATGTTATAAGGACGGACGTTTGAATGACCATAACGAAAGGCAGCACCGGCAAAATGAATAGAAGTTTCCGGACGTAAAGATGAATTATAACCTGTGTAAGGAGGTACTTGAACGCCAAGTACAGCAGGTAGATATTCATTAATTATAACGTGTTGATATTCAGCGATTGTCATCCTTCTAGCGCGTTGATAAATTTCTTCATCATTATCCTTCAAAGATGGGTCATCATTTAAAATTTTGTCCGCCCACCAATTATGTTCACGAATCCAAATAGTAGTAATGATACATAATTGGATGTTTTCAGAACAACGAGTATCACCAGCAACCATGGCATCATTGGCTCTGATAGAAGGTGGCGACAGATTAGGATAAACATTAGTGTTTCCAGGACTTGGAGCCATTCGTTCAGCAGTTACATTTGTAAGAGCTTTATTATAAGCACCACCGTTTCCAAAATAAGTTTCCAACAATAATTTTCCATCTTTCTTTGTACGAAGACCATCTGCCATATCTTTCTTTGCACCATAAATATTTGATAGGTCAAGATACGAATTACCGGAGTCTACTGGGATGAAAACGTTATCAACTATTCGACCTAACGAAAGGGATAATATCATGTCTGAAATATAAAGAGAAAAGTGGTATGAGAAAAGTAGTATATGGTTAAAATTATTAATTATATAAAGACTTTGATTACTCGATTACTCACAAGGAGTTTTTGTAGGATTGAATGGATTATTTGGTTTAGTATTAAGTACGGGATCATCTGTTATATTTGCAATAGAAATTCCTAACGAGACAGTGCTTAACGGAGAATCTTCTATGTCGTGATTAACAAGTTGACCAAAAAACTAAACAAATTCGGAAGATACGTTATTAAAATTATATTGTTCGAACAATTTTTATATATAAACTTACAATTTCAAATATAGATTTTCTTGCAGTTGACGGCAGGTCGTCACTCAATGGACTTCCTGAAAGTATGGGTTCTTGACCACTATCGCCCAAAAGGTTTGAGATCATTCTAGTATCAATTTTTGACCAAGGTTCACCAGTATATTTATCTTTGTAGTTAGGTTGAAAATAACCTCTATCAAAAGCATTGTATGGTATACCCCAATTTGAATTTTCGATATTATTGCAACTTCCATCATATGTTCTCCATTTAAGATCATTGTCTTTACATGTTTTTGGTTTAGGCAAGTCAGGAATAGCATCAGTAAAATTACCCGAGACGTATTGTGAATAAACAGATGATTGTTGGTTTATGAAGATAAAAAAACATAGTGTTAAAGAAGTTAAAGAAAATAGGCCTTGGTACATCATTGTAACCATGGCTATATGGATGGTAATAAACGAGTGAATATAAATAAAGGAGAGGAGGAAAAAAAAAAGAGAGGGATAAATTATATGGCTATTCAAAAAGATCTAAGGAATATAGTTTAGGACATAAGTAAGGCATTTACCGTTACAAAATAACTCTTAATGCAATATAAACAAATATGCATTTACTTCATTTGGATGTTTTATTTGTGCTTAATGACATTTGTATTGTACCATATAAAATTTAATGCATTTCATGCAGTACAGGGAATTCTCGATCGAATTGTACCTTAACATAAAAATAATTCGGATAAACATTTCGCAAATATAAACAGTAATATCGAGATACTGTAGATTTAAAGAAACTTACCCACGAAACATAACATGTGAATCTGATCAGATTATACTGTAGTTTGTGTGTGTACAAAGTACAATTTTGCTTATACCCTAAACCTTAACCTTGAATGGTGCATTTCTTTTTTATACGTTATACGTAGCATACGTATCATTATCAAATTATAAGAAAGGAATAGTGACTCGAATAATTCGAATTTATCATTCTTCGAATCATGAAACTTTAACTCGCGAGTTAATTATTTATCCAATTCAGCCCTTCTGGTCTATAGCATTTCGGGCATTAAATATATCCGAAATCGATATTAGATCAGAAGGGCTGAATCAGATAAATAATCAATAATTTACGAAAAAAAACGGGTGCGCCCTTTTCCCTCTCCCGCACTCATATGTTGTGAGTTTAAGTGGATTTGGAATTCCTAGTTAAATTAATGTTAGCAACCAAAAACGGGTTTATATATATAGCACATTGAAATTTAAATAAAAAATTTTTAATAACTTTTAAGACATTTTCATCTATACAAATAACGCAAAACTAAAGAAAACCTTGATCCAGAATTGGTGGGTGAGGTGTTATTTTTAAAAAGAATCAAGACACATTATTTCAAGTTGATAAATAATTGATTTGCTACTTGTTTTCATAAGTGATAACATGTAATTTGAGTTATATTTGCTTTTGTAACTCAATTTACAAAATTTTCAATAAATTAATTGTTGTGACTCGAATAACTCGAATAAAACTCGAAGAATATTATTATTCGAATTATTCGAGCACTCTTCGGAATTTAATTTGCGAGTTACGAGTTAACACGAGTCCAGTCACTAGTCTGGAATAAATAATTTGAGCGTAATGTAGTCAATTCTTGCTATTTTGATTATTGAATTTAATATTCGCAGGTGAAATTAACACAATTGTTTACAGGGTTTAGAATTGTAAAAAGAAATATTTTTTACTATTTTAAACATAGACATATACGTAATGATAATGGTTCAACAAATTTCTAAATTTAAATTATTAACGCTAAATTTAGATTTCTTGAATTCCAAGTTTTCATCGCCCAATGTTTTTTTTGGTCCCGATTTAATCATATCTTAAATGATCATGGAGACACTTAATTTTATTTAATTTCTAATAAAGTAATACAAAGATTCTTTATTAATCTATATATCTATATTTGAGTTAATATTATTAATATATATATATATGTTGTGCCTGAGATCGATGCTTGCGTCAGGTGACAGCTGACGCACCTCAGATATCAATCGTTGTATGAGG